GGGGGGGGGGGGGGGGGACGGACATTTCCTCTCCACTAGGAGCATGTTCAACTATGAAGAGACCGTTTCCCCTGCCACCCCCTAAACAAGCTGCCTGCAATGTTGTTCCACTCTCTGCCTGGGCCCTGTGACTGCACAGTCTGGTCTTGGGCCCCAAGCCCCACGCATTGCCTCAGATGGGCAGCAGCCCTACCCAACTCCCTCCTCCCTCACTGTAGGAACCTCAATCCCTTCCCCCCACCCCTCCTCAGACTTACCTCTGGAAAGCTGTTCTGCAGGCTGCCTGGTAGCCACAAGCATGTGTACCTGTACATGGTGCCCCCTGCCTGACTGCCCTCTTTCTGCTCCCCCCAGCCCCTTGCAGAATGGAACTCTGCCAGCCTGCAAAGGGAAACCCACTGTTTCCCAGATTTTTCTCCTTAAAAAAGAGAAAACCTGGGTTTTGCTGTGGCAAACAGAAAACCCAGATTCCTGTTTATCATCCTATCCCTTCTGATTTGGCTCTTTTTTTTAAAGGTGAAATATTCTTAACCTTGATCTTGCTCTGTGGATTCTTCCATGCAAGAGGACCAACAAATACATGATTATGGGAGCCCATGGCCATAAGGGCATTTGTTTGCAGGTTTTCCATCTTGTGTTGCTTCCCTCATTGCAGCTACTTTGCTCCCACTATACTGCTATAGATGCTGTCACCAAAGTTTACAAAATTTCATCTCAAGTACTATATACCAGGGCTTTGCTGAATAGCATTTTAATGATTTGCAGCTTACCACCAGCAGACAGACAGCAGAGCAACTGATGAAAGCTACACACTGACCCAACATGGGGAAGACAAGAGAAGGGGTAACTGACAATGCAGACAAGGAAAACAGAACAAAAAAATGTGAAGGTGAACATTGACAGTAGAGAAACTAAATTATGTGCCAAAAAACTGAAAGCACTCATTCAGCCCTTTAGTGTCTCTTAGATATGGGACGCACAAGAGGCAACAAATAAACTGTAGCTTAAGGATGTATGCCTCAAGTCAATGAATATCATCTAAATTTAATATACCTGCTTTGGTAAATATAGTAGCTTCTGAAGCAACAGAGTGCTGATTTTAAAGGGGTAAAAAGCAAACAATGTACTGAAGTGATAAAAGTATAACTGCACAATAAACTTTAAAAGCAACAAAAAGTTCAGGTATTTCTTTATAATACCTTAGAGAGCTGTTAAAATCCATTATCTCCCCATCCACATGAAAAAGATGAAGAAAACAGCTACTGATAAAAGTGAAGAAATGATAATTTATTACACTTTCTGCCATTTAATCTGCTCTCTC